AATGTTGCCGCTGTAAAAGTGTTGGTTCAATGGTCAAACCTTCCTCCTGAAGATGCTACATGGGAGGACTACCAACACTTATGCACCACCTTCCCTAATTTTAGTCCTGATCCTTGAGGACAAGGATCATTTGAAGACGGAGGGTATGTTATGATCTCAGTCCTAGCTTATAAAATGTTGTTGTCAAGATTCGAACTAGGGAAGAGTATAAGCCATTAACAGTGAAATTAAAAGATTAAAGGGCCGAGATTCAATTCATTTAAATAAAGCTGAAGGGACAAGATCGTGCCACTTGGACAGATGGTTATATAAACACATCACAGAGGAGAGAGAGGGGAACTGAAATCTGGTAATTTTCTATTCTTTCCTCGTGCTCTCTTCTTCCTCTCAAATTCTTTTCTCTTCTCATCTAAGTCTGATCTTCTTCTCTCTTCTTCCTCTTCTGCAGATCATATCTCGAATATGGAGCTCACTATAGATAGTTTCTTTTTCTAGCTAGAATTTCCTTGTTCAATTGAGTACCATTTCCTTGTTTTTGATAAATCACAGAAAATTCCAAAAAGGGTGTTGAGTTGATTGTTAATTTTTGCATTTGAATTTTGATCTCGATTGAGATCATAACAGAATTGGAAAGTCTTTGGAGGCGGAGCGGAATGTTTGGAGAGTGAATGACGAGCTTGCTGGATATATGCAGAAGTGGGAGAATTTGACCCATGTTGTGGTAATGAACACAGTATCTTGTGCCTACCAACCAGGCAGTGAATTCTCAGACGATGATCAAAGGTTGGGTATTGGAAAAGGGATTGTTCGCCACAAGGCTGATTAAGCAAAAGCCAAGCAATATGGGTAAATCACTTTGAGTTCTTTGTGGCATGTGCTACTCTACTGTGTAGTTGTACTATGACTTTCTAGAAATATGAGTTTTATGTTGTTGTATCAGATCCTTACACGTTTGAATTGTCTTAAATAGAAATAGAAGATAAAACTTTCTGATAAATGCTTGGAGTGCATTTGGCTATCAATAATTTCTCTTGAGATCTTATTTTCTGGGAATGAAAAACTTAATGCTGCATCCCAACAATTTTCTGGGAATGAAAGACAAATGCTGCATCTCAACAATTTAGATACACTGCAGTTACAAGTACCTGTTCGGCTGTTCCATATGATCTACTTGATTTTAAGAAAAATAGTAAATTGTGGAAGTTAGTGATATTCAATATGCCCGTGAAGCTTGTGACCCAATAGTCAACATAGAAAAGAATCACAAATCACGTTAGCATGTTTTTTGCTGGAATACTATCTATGAGCCTAAGAGGGTTTTTTTTAGGTATCAAAGTCACTGTCTCAAGAACCATGGAGTTCTTGGTGACTATTCAATAATCGCACACAATTGTGGGTCTCTATCTTACTTAATCAATATGTTACACCAACATCATATAGCAAGTCCACCACTTCCAGCGTTTGGAAAAATATTTTATTAGGCTGGAATTACTGTCAAAAGGATATATTTTGGAAACCTTATATTAATTTTTGGAATGATTCATGGGTTCAACCTAATATTACTATCAGTAAGCAAATAATCTTTGTTATATTGCATTTACATTATTATTAGCTGTTCTAATATATTTTTTATTCTGATTTCTGACCAATGATGTTGCAACTAAATTAGCCCTCTTGTTTCACCATTTGTATCAATTATGATTATGCTCCTGTAATTCTTTTGCAATTGAGTTCATATTCCAACTAGAAAGATTCTTGTTGATGATTGCACCCTAGCAGAAATCACAATAGACAAATCAACCAACAACGATTATTGGTCGAGTGGTAAGTATTCTTTAATTCTTAATTAGAGACCTCAATCAAAGTCAACTCCTAGATATGTAGTTGTCTTTAAAATAAAATGTTGTATTTATACTAACAATACATTACAATCATCCATACAAGCTGTAACTGCAGACCTTTATCTTGTTGCTATATCTCCAAAGTATATAACAATGTGAGCTTCTCAAACCATAAACTTTAGTGCAGGCAGAAGATAATGTAAGTAAGGGTAAGTTTCTTCTTGCTATTTTTGAAAACATTTTTCCCAAGCTAGGGGTCTATCAGAAACAGTCTCTCTACCTAACCTTGTGTGAATAAGGTCTGCGTACATTCTACCCTCCCCAAACCACTAGTGGGCAACTCTGGGTATGTTGTTGTTGTTGTTGTTGTTGTTGTTACCTTTCAATATTATACTCCCTCCGTCCCTATTTAGTTGTCCACTTTAGAAATGACACACATATTAAGGCAACAATGATTAGCATAGTGAAGTTACAATTTTGCCCTTATTAATTATGATTCCAAAATAAATTTATTCAAGATAACTAATCAATGTTGGGGGAAGTTTAAATTTTCAAGAAGTTTAAATGAGGGTATAATAGGAAAAATTTTTTTGTCCTTTCTTGATTTGTCAAAATGGACAAGTAAATAGGGACATCTAAAAGAGGAAATATGGACAAGTAAATAGGGACGGAGGGAGTATTGATTAGACGAGTGGTCATTTAAGATAAAATAGTTTGAAAATATTATGTTAGTGCATAGTGACACAGCTGGCTGAATGTGTATACCAATGTGTTAGCAGATTGCATTGCGTAAGACTCATTTAAGGGGATGCGCTCCCTAACATGACCTGATCCTGAAAGTTTTAGTTAAGTGTGAAATGATCCTATTTAACCTAAATTCAAGTTGCGTAAGACTCAGGGATGTGCTCCCTAACATAACTTGATCTTGAAAGTTTTAGTTAAGCATGAAAGTATCCTAATCAACTTACCACCATACGTTGTTGATGAAATTGTTCATTAATTTGTACCATAGTATTAACCATTATTGTTGGTCCCAATTTTTATAATCTTTAACAAAAATTGAAAGCAAGTGATAGCATGCGCGATTGGCCAAGTTGGAGGGGACCTTAAGGGGATCATGACGTCGTACTAACATGGCTATGGGGGAGACTAAAAACCGACAGAATTAGGATATTGTTTAAAGAA